ACCTAACCAGGAGCTTCTTCAAACTAAACAATTAGCTTTCCAAGATTTCGTGAGCTTCTGATGGGGTCCATCCCCTAGCCAATCCATTGTTCCCAGGTAGACTGGCAGGCAGACACCGCCCTTGTGCCACCCGACTTTACTGCGAATGTGCCTATCTCCCCCTTCTCCCAGCAACAATCCAGTGCCAGATGGGGAAGGGAGGGGTGTTAGTCCCATGGAGGAACAATGCTCTGTGAAGCTGTAGCTTCCTGGTGAAGCTTCCCAGGTGACCATGCTTACAATGTCTGAGTCCCTTTGCTTTCTTTCCTTTGTTAATATTAACTAGCTACTTGTGACCATAACACTACTTCTTTTCATAACTAGCTACTTGCGACCATAACACTACTTCTTTTCATTCGTACCTATTGATGTATAGTGGGTGCTCAGATGGAGGCCCAACTTTTAGCATGAAACTCTGGGTTCTTCATAATCTGTTTCCGATCTGTCATCTCTGGCTACTTCACTCCACAGTTTCCCTCAAACACTTGAAGCTCATATCACGTTCCATTCTATTCCTTGTGTATTTCCTTCACTGCTCAATTTTAAGTTCCTCTGGGGAAAAGTCTGGATCCTATTTGTTACTCATCTTTTATTCCACTTTCTGTGACACAGAGAAAGTGCTCATTTAACATTCATTTATTTATTCAACTTATATTTACTGAGCAACCTTCTATGTGCTGGGCACTGATTTAACCCGGGGGTTGCTGCAGTGAGCAGAGGTCCCCAGGGTGCTTGTGGAACTATATTCTGGCTAGGCTAAGGCAGCAGTAAGCAAATGAGTACATAGGACCAGGTAGTGATAAGGGAAATGAAGAAAAATAAGGCACACAATAAGTTAGAAGGTACTGGGGATACTAGAGAGAGGGTTTCGATAAGGTGATTGGAAGAGGCCTCTAATGAGGTGACACCTGAATCAAATGAGGGTGAGTACCATATAGGTGTTGGGGGTCAGGGCAGTCCAGACAGGAAATAGGACAAGTGCAGAGTCCTCTAGACTTACTTTACTTGAGAACAGCTGTGGGAAGGTGGTGACACAGAAGATCACAAGGTGTGGATGGTGGGTGGGGTAAGCATTGTCAACCAGGGTTAAAGAGTTTGGATTTTGTTCCAAGTGTGATAAGTCATTAGAGAAGAATGCTATGAACAGATGTGTATTTTAAAAGATTCACTCTGGTTGCAGTGTAGAGAGTAGGGAAGTGTGAGTGGAGTGGTGGTGGTGGTGGGGGGGAGGCAGGAGGGCTAGTTAATTCGCCCATGCTGTCATCCAGGTGGGAAATGGTTGCAACCTAGACTCAGTTAACGTGGCCAGTGAGTAAATTTTGTGCTGAGGTGGTGGGAAGGGGTGAACTCTGGAGAAAGCATGGTTCCTATTACATGTAGAGCTGCTCATCTTTTATAGCTACAGTGCTGCCTTCTGTTGTATCTTTCTCATGCAAGGTTTTGAGGTCTCTGTGAATCCCTGG